TGCGGTGCAACTACAGTCCCGGGAGGGGAGGGGACGTATCGAGGGTCGAAACACCCATGATCGATTCGAAAATTCCCTTTACGAGTTTCGATTCTAGAATAAATACTACAGCCCCGGGCGCGGAGGTATTGCCGCGTGTACATAGCAATCGATTAAAAAACCTTTTAATGACAAATTTCAAATTAAAAAAATCAAAATTCAATGACAATTTAAAAATTTCAACGACGCTTCCCGCCGCCCACTGCCCACCCCCAGGCCTCGACCCACTGCCCCGTGACCATCTTGCCAAGCCTACGCCAACAGCAAGAGACGTGCCTACCTCCTTTTCCTCATCCAGTAGAACAAAGCTACGACAGAAAAACGAACACACGTGTCCCTGAGTAGGAACACATTATATGAGCGAGTACGCGCGTCACCAGCAAGTGGCGTGGCCTCTCCAGACTGTCACATCGGTGGTCGACCACAGATTCCCCGAAACGCAAGTCACGCTCGTTCTATTCACAATTATAATATATATATATATATATTTATATACTATATGATATGCTGTGAGAATATATATATAATTATCATAATCATATATGACCAACATCCCGTAAACTTTGTGGTTTCCATCGTGTCATTCATTCGCAGTTGTCATTGCGTCAGCCATCTTTAATTAGGTAAGTTAGTTTTCCTGCTGCATTGTTAGTAGTAGTAGCGGTTTAGTCTCCAACCATGCGTGTAGCGTTTATCCTTTAATTATGCGAGATGGAACTGTTGGTTGTGATATTAGGTGATGAATGGATCTTGTTTCCTACGATGCTAGGTAGACGAGGTTAGGTAGCCGTTGCATGCGTATTGTGGTTACCGGTTATATCTTATGTATTGCTCTTACTGGAAATACACAAGCTTGTGCCGCGTTGTGCGGCCACACCCACTTTACAGTTTCCCCCACAAACACTGTTCAGTCGGTGTGGAGCACACACACACTCAAGACATGGTATTGCAAGGTGACATCGTAATTGTCTACTTGCAAAGTGCATTCCATCGTTGATGTTTCACTCTCTAGGTTATGCTTTTACAAAGTAGGTAAACCCACTTGTTTTCCCTCCTAGCCACGTTTCAGGGTACAATTGCTTTAATTGCGTTAGTACCAAAACATTAACATAGCCTACTGATATATGCTATATAGCAAAGCGTGCGGTGTGTACCAGCTAGCATTGTATACTATATTTAATACTGAGGGCTGCATGCTGCATGCTGGCAATGTTTTATAAAAATGAGAAAAACACCTTGGCTTACCTATATGTATATATAAATGTGTGTAGGTGAATGCCGTGGTGTGGTATGGGGCCAGAAATATAAATAGTGCTCTCATTTATGCAAGGAAGTGATAACGGTTGTCAAGTTCTGAAGCTACGTGTATATTTATCGCAGTACAGACGGTTTTGTTTCACCTATTATTACGAAGTTTTTGCCGTTTCAAAGTTGAAAAAATGCGTGGCAACGGTTTAGAACGGGTGCATGTAGCTAATTGCATGTATATATTATAGTACTATTATTGTTTTGATGTGAAAAAGATTAGTGATGGAATACTTTCTATTCGAATGAGTGATTGATGCCATTGTAATTAATGGAAATTTAAGTGGGTTACAGTGAAATCTTTGCATAGTACGAGATACAACTTTATTTTGCTCAATCAAGCAACAATGTGCAGGAACTGCTCTAATTGTATCTTTCCATTTTAGGTGAAAGAGTGTAAACTTGGTATTGTTTATTAAAATTGTATTTCTATGGGGTACACACAATCTGGCATGGAGATTATTAACCATAATTAATAAAAAATGCTTCAATTATTATTATTTAACTTAGTCACTAGAATTTTTGTTTGGATATTATGGTGGTCGGTGTGGTGTATCTTCATTGGCTTTCGATTTTTTACAATGTTTTATCCATGTAACGAGCGAAAACCGCAAGACCAACGTCAATCTCAAGACCAAATGCATAGTTATTTACTTGACACTTCAGTGATTTATTTTCTGCAATCATCATAACGTTGTCTATTAATATATTTGCTCATTTTTCGAGTTTTTGAATTGAATCTTCTGGAATAAGCACGCTAGCACCTAGTGTAGTTAATGCAGCAGCTGTAAGACAGGGCACCCTCCCCCCACCCCTCCCTTCCCAAACTTGCTCATCTATATAAGTAACTGCTAGTACACCGAAACAGGTGCTACAAATTCCTCGAAACTAATGTGAAGCCAATTAATTTGTATCTCCTCTAATTATTTATTACAATTAATTAAAATTAATTAATTACAATTAACTATTAATTACACTTATGCTCAATGCAGTACATAACCAGGTGGGATATTAATGCATTATATATACATACAAGGATCGATGTGATTCATCGATCCGTCTCGCACCAGTTATCCCCACACAGCATCGACTAGGTACGCTGCACACGGGGAAGCTACTGCGACATAGGAAGCTGTACGATTCTTTCGGTTCGAGCGTAGTCGCGCGTTCACAGGCCCGCGTCCGCGCGTCTAGCTTCTTCTCCCACGTGCACGTTGATCACCTTGTACTTCTCGATCGTCTCTATGTCTCGCTCCAGCTGTTTCATCTCTGCCTCCATCCTCTCCTTCCTGTTCTTCTTCGGTGCCGTGTCGGTGACCACCGAGAGACCCTGGTACTGATGATGCAGCTCCTCCCAGTTCTTCTGCTCGCGAACAAAAATCGGAAGAAATTTGACTTCATCAGGTAGGTTCACACACGCACGCACGCACGCACACGCACGCACACACACACGCACATGCACACACACTGTATAGACTATAGACAATAACGTTCCGCACCACATGCATTATTTAACATAAAGCAGATTATTAATTGAAATACCTTTGCAGCACAGACTGCAGCCAAGTGTGTAATCAAATATTTCATTCTAAATAAACGGGAGTCGATCGATAGCGTGATGCTAAGTGATTAAGCTGTGGGAGCGGAGCGGCTAGGGGTCCAACCTTCAGACCCTGCAGAAATGGTTGTAATCGGTGTTATTTGTTGGTTTTGGTTAGGTTTTGTTGTGTTAGAAGCATGTTAATTATTATATGCCTAAAATCCGAAAGGGTTGTTGCCATTCTAAAAGAGTCAATGACTTAGCAGCTAATATTACCCACCTTAGGTTTTCAGTGTTGTTGAAAAACATGTTCCCAGAATAGCAATATCGTGCACATTGGATCTGAGCAGCTGAGTAGCTTATGCAGAGTATGACTATTGAAGGAGGTGTGTCCTGAATTGCACCACTCTAAAGCCTAAAGGCCCAGTAACCTTTGACCTAATTCGATTCAATTCCAAGCATATAGAACTTACCTTCATAACTCACAATAATAAACGTTTAATACACTTGATCCCGTCTATTTCCTGCGTAAAAAAATACAAAGAGCCAATCCGTCCAGTAAGGGGGCGCAGAATACCGGTCCGTGAGTGCTGATAAGGAAGGACATGCTTTCTTTAAGTGGTGGTCCAGTGGGTATAGTTTTACTCTCTCTATTTTTAATTGCTGTTTTTCGTTTCAAAATGCTTGCACTGCACTGTGTTGTATTGTGCTTGTGTATTGTGGGTTTAGTATAAGTCGTGTTGTATATAAGAGATAGTTGTTATAGCACAAAACTAGCTAATGGTGCATAAATATCGATTGAAACGTATTGATATAAACTATACATAGTATAATATTCTCTATATTCTTGCGCTATTCTGTTGTCCACGTCCTCGTGTGTGATGTGCGAATTATTTGTCTCAGCAATAGTAGATAATTTGCTGTTTCATCGTTAAAAATTTTGTTTGCTTGCAGGGCGCCGGGCGCCGAGGAAAGAGGTACCGATCTTCACTCTATAAGCATCATGTCATGCAGTAGCAGAACTACTAAACCGCATTGAGATTTTGCGTTTCAGGACCCGTAGCGTCTTGCGAATACTAATCGCATGCACTTGCGGGATACATCTGCCAGCCAGTTACCGATGCACATTAAGAAATATCATAGTCTATAGAGAATATCTACTGATACTGTTTAAGATTTGCTCATAGGTTATCGACTGTAGCAATAACAATCTACATGATGGAAATACAATAGATGTTGTCCTCTCAATCCATTTTAAGTATCGATTAATTTAAGTGCTCGTATTAGAGAGGAAATGTAAATTAAACAAATTAGGTTGTTATATATTAAATTATGCCAATAAAATTTAGTCCACGGAATCTTGGTTAAAAACAGTAGCATCAATAACGTTTGCTTTTACTGGCAGATGTATTGTACAGACATAAGTGCATGGTTTAGTGAGGACTTGTGGAAGATGACTTAGGTGTACAGAATGGTAACCTCTAACATTTCGATTTGCAGGCGTTTTTCTTGCAGCATAGCAGCGCTTTGAATGTCTATATGTCTGTATGTGTCCATAATTTGTAAGTATATTAACACTCTAATATTGTCTTGATCGTCTTGAACTAACTCTTGACTAACTCGTGCTACCCTGTTTTTTTCCACATCCTTCCTGCTTCCGTTTGCCGCCATTGTTCCGTCACTCCGTTCGCCTCTCACTGCCGCTCTGCATGGTTCATTTTTTCTCAAAATAATTTCGCGTAATGATTTCGCACGTGGCATTGCATGCTCGCATCACATGCTCGATCGCATCGTGCACCTCCGCTCTATTTATTATTATTATATAT